CCACGCCGCCGTGGCGGCGATCAGCCCGGAGGAGGCGGTGTCCCGGCCCGGGGAATGGACACGGGGGCCTACAAGTCGCTGGTGGCCGACGCCGTGGTCCTGAGGCTGGCGCCCATCAGGGAGGAGATCCGCAGGCTGAGGGGGGACCGGGCCCACCTGGAGGCGGTGCTGGCCCGGGGGGCACGCAGGGCTCGAGAGCTCGCCGCCCCGGTGCTCCGGGAGGTCCGACAGAGGGTGGGCTTCTGCTGAGGGGGACGCTCGCCGCGTCTGAGGCTGCGACCTCAGACCTCGTTCATCAGCGCGGTGTTTCCAGGATGGAACCCACGACGACGCTTCTTCATTCATTATTCATTTTTTGAGTTCTGCCTCTTTTAGTTCCTCCAAACGCCACAAAAGTAATACTTTCCATATCTTTAAATGTTTTGTCTTAACGGTTGAAGCCAAACTATTACGCCACAAAAATAAGGAAGACTTGAAAACGACACGAGAAAATAAAATGGATTTTGTACATAAAAGTGAACTTGATCTGATTCAAACATTATTTTTTCCCTGTTGTTGTGAACCACAATGACCAGTTTATGTCAACACAATTTTATGATTACGTATTAAGTATTTAGGTTGAGTATTTTGCATTAAACATAATTTAAAGTACCAGAAATAAAAGTTATTCTTTTGCAGAATAAAAAGGTGGAGCTTATTTAACTTTATGCAGTGTTGGGTGGTTTGAATTAAAAATATAATTTATTAGTTAATTTATATTTTGTATAGAAGATCTTAAGACTGAAACCTTAAAGCGACGAGGAACCTTCATGTTCTTGTTCTCCTGCAGCAGGCCCTGCCTCTCGGTTCTGGTTCTCCTGTTCCTCCAGAGGGTCCTGCCCTTCATCCTGGGTCTCCTGAGAGGAGGAGGAGGAGGATTACAATTAATACAACTCAACAATATTATTTTTGTATATTTTTAACTCATTTAGAAAACGTATTCACACAAACACACGTTTTAACGCTTCCGGGCGTAGAGTATGACTGTTTCTACTTGTGTACTTGTGTACTTATGTACCATGTTGATGCACTTTACTTGAAGGTGCAACTTGCATTACTTTACACTTAATTACTCCATTTATTTAATGACTTAATGTACTACTTTCTTTATAGATTCAGGGTGATAACACAAGTCGTACATAATACATAATGATGTGTTATTACAGGTAAAGAATAAAAGCTGTAAAAAGAAAATCATAGGTATAATTCTAAAATTGGCCAATAAAAGTCTGAGTACTAAATCATTCTCTGATTTAGTAATATAATATATATACTATGTGTGTTGTGGGTGTACATGTATGTATAATATTTTGACTTTTACTGTATATTATATATATAGAAATACACGCAAACAGTGTCTCCTCATCTTTTCCCCTCATCATTCTTCCTTATTTTAAAGCTCATGTTAGTATTTTAATTAAAAGCGTGCACGCACACACACACACACACACGCGCGCGCACTAGTGCGAGCCGCGTTATAACAAACGCACGTCAGTGACGCGGGTGGAGTAATGTTTAATGTGCACGCGACACCGTCACTGAACCGTTTTACGCGCGGAGGTAATAAATGTAGTTTTATTAACGGTAGTTTTATTTAAGAAGAAGGAGGAGAAATAAATATATATGTTGTAAACCTTGAAGCTCTTAACGTTTATGACTTACATGACTATTAATCAAATCGTCAAATAAAAAGTGTTTTTTTTATTTCAACATGAACTTAATTTAGAATGAATTAACGTCAAACAATACAGTGCATTTAAAAACATTTTTTACCCGTCTATATTATTTATTTATTATGATAATGTTTTTTTTTTTTTTTAAATTTTTTAACTAATGTTTTACATTGATACTATTTGTTTTTATTACAATTATTCATACGTATTTTGATTCTACTTAATTTATTTATCTATCTGGTTAGTGTTGTGGTTTCTGTGGAAACGTTCATTGAAGGTTCTTTACGGAATTGGACTTCATAAATGGCCAAACAGCAGAATTTGGCGGGAGCACATTACTGCGCACCTTTTAGAAAAGCGTTAACAAATAAACTTTTTATATGTAGAATTACAACTTCAATTTGTCTGATAACAACACAGAAATGCGCGAAACCCAATTTCGTGCTCCAAGAAAACTCAAAATGTCTTCTCGTCGATCGCATCGTCACTATTTACTTTCTGCTTTTTTTTCTTCTTGATCGCCCCCGATGACCTCTGACCTCTCCGGTTGGGATCAAGCCGGTGTCGTAATGCACGGAAAGCTGCCGCCACTCGGGGTTCTTTAGCGTGGTCTCAATGCCCCGAGGGGTCACGCAGGGTCAAACGCTTTCCTTCGATAATTGAATATTAACGGGCACGTGTCCGCCCGCGCCGTCCACGTGTCCGTCTGCGTGGCCTGACGTCACAGAACAAAAAGCTGGACGCGTGCTTTTTGAGCAATGACGACACCGACATATATGATATCTGAAAACTGAAAGGAGAAATTGTCAGTTAGTGATCCGAATGTTGGAACACGAATTTATTTAAATGTGGGCTGAATGTCCCGGATGTGGACGTCTGACCGTTTGGCCGATAATTAAATCCAAACTGCAAACAGTTGATTTTAGTTTTTACTGCACGAGGTTAACGACGCAAAGCAGCACAGAATCATCTAACAATTTATAATTAACAAAAGGACTTACGATATTTCCCCGGCTAGTTGTGTCAATCAGGCCTACAACAAAATGAGAATAAAATAAATTTCCGCTGACAATCTAATTTAGTATTAAATACAGAATGGCGCGATTGACGCGGTTGCTGGATCCCTTGAGGTGAAGCTCGGTGACCTTTTGCAAAGCGTCGTTCTTCAGACGCCGCGGTAACAAACTGTCGGAACCGGGGGGCTGTTTTCCGCCGCTGCGCGCACACGCACGCAGAACGACGTGGTCTGCGGAAATCTGTCAGGCTGAAGACGCGCAAACTAATTCTCTTCCTCGCGGTAAGAAGCGACGCAATAAAATAGTCTGCGTGTATTATTGTTATTCTCATCTATAATGCCATATTTAATATGTATTATCAACTGTTATTATTGATAATGTTGTTAGTGTAAGTGAACTTTAATAGACCACCGAACAAATGTGTGATTTAGGAATATAAATCCAAAGGACCTGACTTAATAACCAATTAATTATAAAGAACTCTTCTTTGAATTAGACCGCAGTAGAAATATTTCCCAACATAAATATTAAATTCGGGAATGAACTCAGAATCCATTATTTGAATTGGTTGTAGTTGAATCGAATAATCGTCCTCATTTAGTTAAAAGTGGGAATAGAATATTGTAAAGTCATTCTGCCTTATAATTGTTTTAATGTGTTGGAGTAAAATTCATGAACTACTTTACGTTGTGCACATTATTTTAAATAGATGAAACAGAGAGAAGGAGAAGAACTCTAAACAGTGTAAACACTCCGGTTTGTGGTCAAATCTCGTGTTCTGTTCTGACCCCCCCGACTGGCTCGTTCCTGCCTCTGACACCTGTTCGGCCTCCTCACCTGTAAAGTGATTTTACCCACAATCCCTCTCCAGAGAACCGACTCGGAGGACCTCGGGGGGGCCCTCGGGGACAGACTCGGGCCCCGCAGGATGAAGCTGGCGTCATCATCATCGCCATCATCAGAAAAAAAACTTGCAAACAACTCCAGCTGAAACCGTTTTATTTTTCATTTATTTTAATGTTTCGCAGGAAAGCGTATAAAACGTTAGAGAGTCACCCCCCCCCCCCTCCCTCCTGCCATTGGACAGACCTCCGCGCCTCGCAGTCCCTCCTCGCTCCTGAATGGACTGCTGGTTGTTTGACAGCGTTCGCGCTCGAGGCCCCCGCCCCCCTTCGCGCCCGCGAGAAGGAAAAAAAAAAGGGAAAACTCCCTCCCCCCCAGAAGCGAGTATCAATCAGCGAGGAGTTCTGCGGGGGGACAGAGAGAGAAAAAGCGCGACGCGGAGAGGAAGCACGCAGAGTCGCGCGGTCCGCCTCCCCCTCCCCAAACCCCCCCACCGACCCGCACCCGCACCCGGACCCGGACTCGAGCCCTCGCGCAGCCAGGATGGTGCAGCGCCGCGCCGGAAGCCCCGCGCGCCGCTCCTAGTCACCTTTGGGATTACTTTGGACTCGTTGGTGAGTTCGCGCCTGTAAACATCGACGCGTGACCCCCTTTATTTTTTATTTTTTTATTTTTACGCTTCATTCGACCACCGCGTTGGACGCACGCAGAGGGATATTTCCGACAATTCCTCCCCCCCCCCTCCTCTGAAGCCCCCCTCCCTCCCTCCCCACCCCCCGGTGCGGGTGGATCTGACAGAAATGAGTGAGAGGAGGCGATCGGCCGCGGCTCTGAGCTCGAGAGCCCACGCGTTCTCCGTGGAGGCCCTGATCGGCTCCAACAAGAAGAGGAAGCTGCGCGGCTGGGAGGAGAAGGAGCTGCAGCTGTCCATGGAGAGCCTCGCCGCGGACGGAGAGGACCCGGCGCACTGCCTGGACATGGACCCGGGTCAGTGCGCAGACACGCACCACACCGCAGGCAAACTAAACAAACCCGGGCCCGAGGCTGGCGGCCCCGCGTGCGCGTTAAACCGGGAGGAGACGAGGAGGGAATATGACTGATTGATTAAATCGTTTATTAGTGACGTCAAAAGAATAAAAGGATCGAAGCGCTGTCATGAAGTAAAAACACATTCCGGACTTATGAATTATGAAAAACAAAACCGGCATTATGGCAAATGACTTTGCACTAAAAGCGCGCACACGCTATGAATCTGTCGTGTTTAAAGATGTCAACAACCAGCACATCTCCTGTTAATGCGTAAAGGAGAAAATACATCACAGAAATGCAAAGAAATTACAACGGAAACTACATTTCGGAAGGTATTTTTTATTTAATTTAAATAAAAGAAAAGAATAAATAACCTAGGAGAGAAGTGGTTACATTTGGTTTCTGTTAATAAATTCATAACAATTCATTTTTGCCACAATCACAAGTTTGCTGGCAGCAGTTAATTCAAATAAACGACCCGCGGCTTATCTGCCTCAGCTTCGATGTTAATTTGTGTATTTATTATCACATAAACTTTTATATTACTCCATTCTGGGGATGAATAACAGATCTGGAATCCTTTCAGCTTGTTTATATTTAGGAGTTTAAAAGAGATGAATCAGTGAGACGTTTTAAACTCGTTCTGTTTGACATTTAGTTAGAAAACAGATTAATGAATGTAAAGACATTTATTTATATATGTATACATTTATGGACACATATTTATAGATGTATAAATATAAAGACTATATATATATATATTATATATATGTATGCGTATATATAGCCGGGCAATCATTTACCAAATCTAATATTATAATATTCCTAATATATATATATATATATATATATATATATATATATATATATATATATATATATATATATATTATATTATATTGATACAAGAAATATTACATTTGGTTAAAATGAGCGACCCTGATATTACGGATCAGATGAAGTTCTTTATGAATATTTGCTAAACACGCGGATGACATCGGGGCGCGTTCCTCCCTCGCGGGGACGGAAGTCTCTCGACCTGCTGCGGTCAAAACATAAAGACAATATGGAGACTGCGGTGAACGGACCGGTTAGCAGGAGGAGGCGAGGTGGTTGTTCTTATCAAAGGGCAGCTAACGGGGGGGCGGGGGGGTAAACGTAGATTAAAGCGTTGCTAATGACAACCACGCTCTTTAAAAATCCGGAAAATGAGATCCTGTTCTGCGTCTTGAGGATCTGTAGCTTAGTGAATTACAGAGACCCCCCCCCACTGACCCCCCCCCGTCCCGCTCATTAGCAGGCGGGTTCCTGGCAGGTTCAGCGGGTCCTGCTCGGGTGCTGCAGCCTCCGCTTTGGCGCGTCGGCCTCTGTGGTCAGATGATGTGGTTTGGAGGGATCCTTAACGGGGGGGGGGTTGGAGGGTGGGGGGGGGGGGGGATTTTTTTTGTTTGACTTGTTTCCAGGGAAGCGGGGAGACGCCCGGGATTATAACACATTTAATAACCTATTTAAAAAAGGGGGCGTACTAAGGCAGGGGTTCCCAGCCCAAAAGTGCTTCACTTAATACGGTTCACCCTCGTCAGGGACCCCCTCCTCACTTGGAATAAACCATTATGCCCACATATATCTAGCCCACCGCCCCAAGATACCATAATATAGACGATTCGTAACACGATAGTTCGGTGTTTCTGCTTTATTATAATAATATGCAAAACATAACCCCCCCGCCTTGTACAAAAAGCTTATGCTTTCTCTTCTTGCCATATAAAACCGGAAGGTGAAAATAATCACAGACTATATAGATGAGAAAAATCTTCATTTTGATTTGTTCTGAGCCGGTATGTGGCTCGCCATAGATGTCGACCCGGTCGTGGCCCCGTCCGAAACTAAAAATTTTCCCTCCCCAGAGATAGTCTCTCGTGTAACTCTACGGAGTCACTTTTTGGGCGTACAGAGCAGAGCGGGAGGTATTCTCACGGCATGTACTCGTACTCTCTACTCAGCGTGCACGAGGACGCCGTTGAACTTGCGAGCGGATGGATGTGACTCCCAGTTGTCATCGCTCATTAATCTTGTTTATGCACGTGCGGGTTTTTTGACGGGCTTTCGTGTCTGTAATTCACTGGATCTGCGCGTGTGTGTTGTAGACGCAGATGTTTAGACGTAAAGGAGCTCTGATGAACATCCGATGATGTCGGGGGAGAACGTAGTAAAACTACATTATCTGCATCTCTGAGAAGGATTTCACTAATAACACAATCGGCGCCATAAATAATACTTCTCGGATCCTGGAAGTCCAGATTACACAGCGAGTGCTTTTCTTTTCTCTCTCAGCTCAAATCCGATGTACGGTGTGTGTGTGTGTGTGTGTGTGTGTGTGTGTGTGTGTGTGTGTGTGTGTGTGTGTGTGTGTGTGTCTCTCGGTGTGACGGTTTCACACGAGGTGAAGTGACGCTCGCGCTGTGACAAACGGCCTAAATGTTGTTTACATGGTCGTCGAGGCGACAGAGTCACAGGAACTGAAGAGCAGCGACGAGGAGAGAGAGCAGCGAGGTGGTGAAACCTGTCAGCTTCACACTCACACACTCACACACACACACACACACACACACAACGTCGCACATCGACACACACATCCACGCACAAACAAAGCCTGTTGTAATGAGAACATTATCATACATCAGCCTCGTCCCTGCAGCTATTTGTAGAGCTGCTCCACAAGCAAACACTGGTCTGATCGTGTGTGTGTTTGTGTGTGTGTGCGTGTGTGTGTGTGTGTGAGCACCAATTAAAATGACAGGAGAGCCACGACCATCAACAGCCAGGTGCTGGATGGGAGGTGGAATTTGGCACGTGAACGTCTTAGAACATACATGTTTATGTGTTGAAGGAATGTCTTTACGTGTATTTTATTCATCTTATGTGTATCTTTTAAACAGCGACAGTATAAAAGTCTAAATTATTATAGTATTTGTTTATATTATTTAACGTATGGTGTTTAAATATGGATTTTATTCAACCTTTAAATCCTGTTTGTTCAGCCACAATAAACACATTCATTTAATTGTTTACATATTTCTTTATTTAAATATATTATGTCAACCAAAATGTATTAGAATATGTATAAATTCATGTGTCATATTTGTTAATTTTTTTTTTTTTTTAGTTGCATAGAAATGAAATTAATAAAATCCAAATCAATTATTTAATTTAGTTTTTCAGGTTAAGTGTACATTTGACAGATTTAATGAATTGAATGAACATCATCTCCTTTTTGTTAATTTTACCATATTCAGTGTCATATTTGTAATATATTTATGTTTGTTAAGAAAGCAAAAGAAATGTCCTCACAACAGTTCCATTTGTTTTATAAACGCATATGTTTCATAGGAATGCAGCTCTGTGAGTGTGTCAGCTGAGGTTGTGTTTCCTATAAGCGGATGAACAGGGATTTCCTCTGTGAGGTAATTAATATTTCACCTCGGCTGTGCGGTTAATAAACGGGTCGTTTGTCAGTCAGACGGACGTTTGCACTAAAGCCCTCGTCTTGTTTACAGATGTCTCTCTCTGCGCTGCTTTGAGTCGCTGATGTTTAAAAGTGCTCTTCAGACGGCCGCTGAGGCCTCAGCTGCTCGCGCATGTCTGTCAGCAGCGCTATTACCATCCGCTCCCCGCGTGTGCGTGTGCGTGTGGTGGGCGGCCCGTGACCTTGAAACATTGACGCTGACGCTGAACATTATACTCAACGCCTTCCCACATGCACATACACACATGCACACATGCACATACACACATACACACATGCAAATACACACATGCACACATGCACATACACACATGCAAATACACACATGCACACATGCACATACACACATACACACATGCACATACACACATGCACATACACACATGCAAATACACACATGCAAATACACACATGCACATACACACATGCACATACACACATGCAAATACACACATGCAAATACACACATGCACATACACACATGCAAATACACACATACACACATGCAAATACACACATGCACATACACACATGCATACACACATACACACATACACACATGCACACATACACACATGCACATACACACATACACACATCCACATACACACATGCAAATACACACATGCACATACACACATACAGACACGCACATGCACAAACATACAAACACACACGCACATGCACATACACACATACACGCACATGCACAAACACACATGCACATACACATATACACACATGCACAAAAGTTAGCTAACTTATTCTCAGCTGCAGGCTGTTGACCTTTTTACTTTGCCTTACATTGCGACACATGTTCAAACCGTTGTGTTCGGTGTGTGTGTGTGTGTGTGTGTGTGCATGTGTGTGTGCGTGTGTGTGTGTGTCTTTTGAATTAGCTCCATTTCGCTCGCCGTGCAGGCGGCGGGTTTCAGAACGGAGGCCGTCGGGAAGCTGTCGGGAGTTTTTGCAGTGTTCAGAGTTCATAGCGAGCGCGTTCTTGATCTTCTCCTTGATCGAGTGCGCTGGAGAAGTAACTTTTCATTGAAATTAGTTTCGGCTTCGCTTTTGGGACGCGGCGTTGCTGCCTACGTGCTTTACTGTTCTCTTGGAGCTGGTTTGCTCATAAGGAGGTGAAAGAAGCTCGATTAAATAAATGTTTGTGCGTAGGGAGCTTCTACCGCAGAAGGTCGGGAAACACTAAATAAAGCCTGAATTCAGTGCGTAAAACAGCCACACACGCAGCCCTCATGTTTCGCAGACATTCGTCCCCCTCGGGGGAGAAGCGTCGCCGCCCAAGTGATGCGGCGCCCAAGTGACGCGGCGCTAAAGTCAAGCGGCTCAGCCGCCATGACAATGTGCTAATGCTACAATGGCTTTCTAACGAGACAGAGCCAGCGCTAACTTCCCCGTTTGACAAAAGGACTCTGTG